CAACCGTCCATGGTATATCGCCAATTTTTTCGCCAAATGGGCGATTTCTCGCCGAATGTGTCAACCCTGCTTTACCATGCCATTTTATGGTAACCTTAAAACTGCTTTGCGGGGAAGATATCTTACCGCGCCTCTACATTTAGTAATAACAATATCAATCTCCCAGCATTCGTATTATGTATTCCGAGACAAACTCTATCATTGGTTTGCCTCAACCATGTACTTGTCCTCGATATTAGTTTTGGGAATGGCTTTGGAACCTCTGGATATGCATCTATGAATTTTTAAATGAAATAATTCTAGGAGTTTATTCTCTGTTTCTAAAATGTCAAAACTGCCACAATTCATCTGATTCAATAACTCCGTTTTCTATGGAATTCTGTCTAAAACCACATAACAGTAAAAAAAATTAAAATATCTAAATTCATGATGGTAAGATAATGCTTATAAACCTGAAATAAAGGTTCTGCATTCCAAATATATTTAATATTATTAATCATCGTTGACTGTTATTAATGTCCATTAGTACACATGGTAGAATGCAGAACTACCTTTCTTAAAATAGTTAAAAGAGTTAATAATCAATTAAATGAAGGTCTACATTTAAAAAACTGTTTCTGCTAAATTCGTCATTTTCATCGTTGCTTATAGATAGATGATTTTGTTGTGGTTATTAAATCAAGCTACTTATATTACACAAAGTATTCGTCCACCATAAGATTCCATAGGTAAGGTATAACACTAACATAGTGTATTAATAAGGCACATTAACGCTGAAATTTAAGGAGTACTTAATACTCCTTACTAAATAAAGTACATAAACACTGAAAGAAAAAGGACACGAGAAGAAAGAAAAAAAATTAAATGATCCAGAAAAAAGTTTAGCAAAAAAATATCTTAAAGCTTTTAGATTTTACATTACGCCAAAAGGGGCGGTATTTTTTTTTATCGTAGATTACCGATTACCATTAGAATTCCTTTTTTTATCATAGATTACCGATTACCGTTAGAAATGGTATCAATGGGATTGTTTCTTTACTACCGCCTTTTAAGTTTTATTAATGACTGTTAATTATTCTATTCTTCCATAAAACAGAAAATGGTAAATATACGTACTACTCATGTACTCTAAATCGAGCTTTCTAGGCATGAGAAACGCATGTTGAATTTCGTCAAACGGCCCAGTAGAGAGTGAGATATAGAACTATCATTTTTTTTTTTTTTTTTTTTTTTTTTTTTTTTTTAAGGTATTGTACGTTTTTGAGATTTCGAGATTCACGTATTGAAGTTCTTAGGCGAATTTAACTCTTTCCAAAGAATCCAAATGATATCGAAATCTCCATCCAAGACCGTTTTACATTCTTCGTCGCATTTCAAAGTCCGAAAAAGGGCATCGGTACTGAAGTTCGGTTTTGCGTAGAGGACAGTGAATCTGATTTTACCTTGCACGTAGACCGCGGGCATTTGTACATCGATATAATTCGATTTGAAATATTTCACGTTTTTATGAACCAGTTTTCCAGCCCTTTGAAATACATAAAATATTTAAAAACATCATATCTTTAGAATTTCCGACAGACAGTCTCGCACACTGGAGATAAAAATGTTTTTTTTTTCGTACAGTTTACCATTGCTTGCTTGAAAATCGTATAATTTGTTAATCAAAAATTCGTTAAAGCGTTACAAAATATGAAATAGATAAGGAAACCAATTCGAAATTCAAAATTCGGGGGGCCAGGTGCCCATGTTAGGGTGGAGGATAAAGTCATTCAAAATTTGATGGCTCTAGGTACCATCGTGTTTCACCACGCGAGAAGCATACATGCATTCATGCAGATTCTTCATTATTTAATTTCTTTAAGTACAATACTGGCCGATAATATTTGGTGGCAACAATTTGAAAAGTTAAACGCCGTTTATAGTGAACGCCACAAAATGCAGTTTTGGGAATAATAGCCCTTCTGGGCTACTGCTCCTTTGGGCTAATAACTAAATAAGAATAAAAATGTTAAAATGAGAAAGGATTTCTAAAAAGTAGAGTTCATCTCTTCAAACCGTAAAAGTTCAAATAAAAATTGATAGCTAATATAATAGACAAGTCTTTTAAAGTTATCGGAAGTCCCGTTTTCTGCTGAACCTTTTGGATATACTTAAGAATAATATGGCTGACATTTTTATCACGGACAGCACAATTAGAAGAAGTTCAAATCGTCTTAAAGAATTCTTGAAAATGCCATTTCCAGCAAAGTTGAAATTAGTTTGAAATCTGTTGAAAACTGATTTTTTAAATTTTAGCAGCCCAAAAGGTGCAGTTTGTCTAGAGCCTATTAGTTTGCCTAGCAGTTTGCCTAGAGGGTTTTGACACTTTGCACTGATTCACTATAAACGGCAAATCACTTTTTAAATTGCTACTACCAAATATTAGAGCGCTGTATTACATTTAAAGAAATTAAATAATGAATCTGCATATATGTATGTATATTTTCGCATTGTCCTGAAATCCGTTCCTGAAAACAGAAGAGTACCGAAAATCTATATACTGTGCAGAAACGTTATCTGAAATTTTATAGAAGAATTCTATTGATAATCTCTGACATAACTTATAAAAAATTGGGCAAGGATTATACGGAATTCTGAAGTTTAACGTCTAATTTTTATATGGAATTCTATACGATATTTTCGTGAGGATAGTAGCATATTACGCCAACTCAGTCACCATCGTTGTTTCTTCTCACATGCGTTAATATCTAATTTGCATAAAATCACATTTTCTGGAATGCAACAATATGGGAGTTTATAGATAAGAGAATATTAAGAAAATAACTTGTTCTAAAAGTCAAAATTAATTTGAAAACTTAACAGCGAAATTTATCTGGAAATAAAACTGAAACAGCGTAAATTAAAAGAGATGAATTATGTAGAATGAAAACTGAAAGAAGTCATAATTAATGTACCCACTGTTGCGTAATAGAATACGTGGTAACTCACTAAAGGAGTATACTGGATGTAAATGAAATAAAAGTTTTTAATTGGTAGTTTCTTTAAAGTAGCAAAATACGTTAGCAGGATGTATGCCAGCCTACGGCATGTGATAAAAACATATGATGGATAACAGGGGAAACCTTGGCTATGATTACTGCTGCGTAGAATGATGTCTATTTTCTTGTTTTACTAATTCATCAGACAGCTGACTACAAGTCGATGCATTACTTCAGGATAAATACTGTCCGGGACTTGAATCTCTCACTCAAAATGACTCGTCTCTAGTTCTTGCCTTCGACAGCTACATTCCATTTCAGGATTCCACACATCACATTGTTACACTATGCTGAAGAGAACCACGGCTACTGAGATAGGCCACGAGGATGATACATACCTTTAGTTTCCACAGGCGAGTATAAAGCGTTTCACTTCTTATCCTCTTCAACACTGCCCACACGAAAGGAGAAATGCAAATTTTCCAACATAATGTTTATATACACATGCTCTATTGTATTAAAGGCAAAACGTAACTAGTTAAATTGGAAAATAAAAAGAACTGGAACACATACTATTTTTAAATACAAAATATAACTAGTGAAATAATTTCACTTCAATATAGAAACACATATTCGTTACATTTTAATAGAGACTCTTTGATCCCTTGGATGTAGGAAGTTTGATCTTTCAACTAAAATTCTGGACTATATTTATTCATTATCAAAATTTATAATAAGATATTTATTTATGTTGTTGCATCATTAAGGTTTCTGATGCTGGAGACGTGAAAATGTGAAGAAAGCCCGCCCCGGGATTCGAACTCTGGGGCTACCGAATACGCTTCGAGTATGCTTCCAGTTACCCCCTCCCGAAGGCATGTGGAAAGGATGGAGAAAATACTTTGCATACTTTCCCTTTTAAATGGGGATTAGGGAACAAGTCGCCAATTTTTGGTGGTGATGAACTATCGTCCACCACCTTTTAGTTCGGGCGCCACAGAGTTATTAAGATATTTTTTGAAGCAGGAGACGTGAAAATGCGCAATGCCGTCACCAGGATTCGAGTCGATTGCCCTGGACTGTCAGTTACATCATGTTTCCAGTTACATCATGAAGGTTACATCATCTATGCTTCCAGTTACATCATGAAGACATGTGGAAAGGAGGTAGAAAATATCTTATAATATCTCAATTTGAATATGAAGAAAATTCTTTAAAATCCTCTGGCCGGTAATGCTGTTTACATAAGACATAGAATAATTTTGTAACGTCTTTAAAAAGTATCTAGACATGCAACTTGAAATATGCCCAAGAAACTGAAGCAATATTTTGAAAATACATAAATCCAAGTATCAAATACCGAGGGCATTTTGGTATTAAAAATCAAGAAAACACCCCTTTTTCAAGACAGTTTTAACAAATTTTTGCTTTTTTTAACGAAATTCTAGATGGTTAAAGGAATTTTCATGATGCTTTGAAAAACCAAAATGAACCACAGAGATTTTAAAGTTGAAAGTTGAGTAATTTTTCGACAAAAAATATATTTAAATCTAGACTTCACAAACATGTCCAACATCAGCATTAGGGCAAAAGAGTAAACTGGTATTTGTAGTAATCCTAAGTTCATTTTCAACAAATGCAGCCACATTATTAAACAACTTCAGCAGTTATATTAAAATAATCTTTATTAGCTTAAAAAGTATGCAAGTACAATTTTTTTCTTATGAAAAAGTAAATGTGACAAATTTCAAACTTCTGTGTAACATACTAAAAGAAAATAATTTCATTATAATTTACCAGGCTAAAAAATAAAACAGACTTAAAATTAAAGTTAAAAATTATACTTTTAACCCGAAATTTGAAAATAAAATGCTAAATAAAGAAGCTCTGATAAAATAGTAAATTTCAAAATAAAAGTAATATGTTGAAAAATAAAAATATAAAATGTAAAATGTCTGATGAAATAACGCACAACATAGTTTAAAATGTTAAAATAATTTCTGATGAAAGAATGAGTAAGACTTCGGACATATAAAATATATTCAACGTATCATAACACTTCGAAAATGTTTGCCTTGATTTTCGAATCCAGTTTAATTTACTATACCCAAGACACAAGTTCTACTTTCACTGTCCTGTTCCTTAACTTTGTTATGCAGAAAGGAAATGGCAAATGATTTTTTTTTCATATGGTCTTCATATATGTACATACTTGCTAATGAGCGTAAGCTAGATTTTTCCGCAAAAAAATATATGCAATCACGGATAATAAAAAGGTGGGTGATTAGTAAGACTTTCACTCCGAGGCTTAATTTCGATTCTTATACCATTCTTGGGTCTTAAGATTATTTCATCTGCCACGTGGACTTTGTCTCTAGGATCTAAGGATCGCACATGGTATTTTCTCAGAATAAATGAAAGCATCGTTTTCGCTTCCATCAGGGCAAAACGCTGGCCTGGAAAAGAAAAAAAAAATGTTATGTGTCTTTTAAAGAGACACAGCAACACAAAAAATTTTCCTATCAAACTGACCTATAACCTAATCCAAATAAAGTCATTGCGTTGTGTATTAACCGGATTAACCCTGAAATAAAAATATGTAGTGGACTGGTGAAAGACATGAGCACTTCAAATAAACATACCATTGATTGATCCAGAAAAATATGATTATTTATTTAAATCTTATGCAATTTATATTTTTGCAAATTTTAACAAGTTAGGGAGTCATAATGGAATAATAATAAAAAAAACTTTAACAAAATAAACTCATAATTTTTCCCACAAAAATTCTCCAAAATCAAACATTATATTGAATAAAAACTAGCAAGCATAATCATTTAAATTGTATGAAAGAATAACATACCCTCCCCGGAGAGGAAAATGATATTTAACAATTAGCACTTTGCAAGAGAATCCACACTGAATAAGCAGTTATGAACTTAGATACAGATTTGAGAAAAACCCAACAAAATAATACTGATTTATTATTGCACATTTTAATTTATGAAATGAGAGAATAAACAATAAACCGGGTAAAATTTTTAAGAATAAAATCAGGCTTTACATCTTAACAGACAACTTATTCCAACAGCATAGTAATGAACTCAATTAATTGCACCTGATATTAAAGCCTTAACGATAAAAAAATTTCTGCTTTAATTAAATTATTTAAAACTAATAATATATTTCCCTAGCCATTCTGAATAAGTTACTTTATCTCAGAAATCAGAATTTTAGGAACAGCATAACAAGAAAAATTTTCTTAAGTACAAAAGAAATTAGTTTATCATCAAAACCATTAACTATTAAAAAAAATAAAATCACTTAGCTGTCGCTTCTAGGAGTTCTGCCTGGGGAGGTGGTCATCCAAAAATTTCTTAATTACAGGTCGAAAAACCAGAAGGCTTGTAGAAAGTTCTGTGAAGGTAAATTTTTTTTTCGCGCTAATGAAACATGGAAAGTCTATTGACGATTTCTGACGGGTATTTCTTGATTCTAAACAGGACGAAGAATTCAGAAGGCTTATAGAAAGTTCTGTGAAGGTAAATTTTTTTTTTTTTTTTTTGCGCTAATGAAGCATGGAAGGTCCATTGACACTTTCCGACGGGAGATTTAGATTTGATTTAGAAGATTTATCTGCCATTGACATCAGCTTGACGAAATTTTAGTTTGTCGGATAAGTACATCACGCCGGGAAGACTGGAACTGATTTTTGAGAATTTTGCTGCCATTGATATCAGCACTTTGAAGATTGATCTGCCAATGACATCAGCTTGACGAAATTTTTGTTTGTCTGATGATTTACTGCGTGTTGGAAAGAAGCCGTTTATAACTTATTGCATAAGGGTATTCGCAGCCGATTGAGCATTTGAAGCCAATTGATAATAACTTCAAATGAAAAATTAATGCCTATTAACCCGTTGCATTTTCCTTTCGAGGGCAAATGCCCAGTAGATCACGCGGGAGAAGCTCCGACATTTCTTTTTTAAACCGGCTCGCAGAGCACGCCTTTCTAATCTCGTAAGATCAGCTTAAAACGCGGCCAAAAAGAGGTTTTGTTCCTCGAAAATCACTCGTTAAAAAGTTACGCTCGGGAACACCAACTTGGCACCACTCACGCCCCGCCAAGGGCAAAACCAGTTGCAACACCCAGCTTTCCGTTATGCAAACACCCTCGCCAAAACCAACCGGTTTGAAACCACAACGGATTTTCCAACTCGTCAACCAGCCACACCTAGAAGAGGGGAGAACGTGGGAATCTCAACAACTCTGGACCAAGCTCCAGTGAAAGTGCACTGAAGAACCATAAAAACGAGCATTTTACCGGAAAAGGGAGATTTCCTCCCCCAGAATAGAAATCACAATGACAACTGTAAACATCCATTAATTAAAAGCTCATAACTAAATTGTAATTGAAGTTAAAATAAAAGTTATCTCAAATTAAAAAGCTAATTTTTCTGCAACTATTGATATTAAACTCTAAGAGTTTAACTTAATTCTTGTCATGAAAAACTGAGTTTATTACGTGAAAATTCACCTATATCCATTGTCTGAGTATACAAGTTTGAAAACGAATTTGGCACAAAACGTCGCGAGCTAAGTATTTCGTGTAAAATCAAATAACCCAAATTGATTGAAATAAACTAATAATAACCAAATAAATTAACAAATCCAAACCTGTTGTGAAGCTAAAATTTTGAATATTGACACATTAAAATTTGATTTCTGTGATTCGTTTAATTACATTAAATTTGCTACACAACGAAAAGAACAAACTACTGAACAAAAGCGAAAACGATATCGATTTTAAAAAAGATCTTAATATTCTTAAAAGTGCTTAGTTCTGTTAGTGATTGTGAAATGCAAAACCTCAACGCATTTTAATCCGTAACTATCAACTCAGAAATGTATTAATTAGGTTTACTATTTTACTTAAGACATAAGGTTTAAAATATAAGTAATTTTTATTGTAAAATTATGAACTTGAAAATTTATATCACTTAAATGTGAATACCGAAAATATTTCGACCAATTTGTCGAAAGAATCGAAAAGTCGATATTTCTTTGGCAGCGAATTTATTGCATCTAAGAAATAAGATCACATAAATAGGCTAAATATTTTTGTATGGTTACTTAAGGTTTAGCCCTTTTCTGGTTCTTTTTAACTCCAAAGTTGGTCGTTTACGAGATTCTGATTTCAAAATAACAATTTCTTTGAAACTATGCCTGTTCAACAAACTGATCCTCATAGAAAACCATTCGATAACAGCTGTGCTATAAATTTATTGCTCTAAAATTTCAGTTTTAAAGATCCTCCCATTTTGACTTGTAATTATGGGACCAACAACTGCGGAAAGCAAGGCCCAATCGTGCCTCTCTTCATTTTCGTTCACGAATGAAGGCTGACTTGAACGACAGGTACAGGTAGGCCAACACGTCTATAGTACCATATGTAATTAAGTATTGCTGACTACAGCTAAGTGTTAAGTTTCCGCTCCGGATGCAATTACGGAGAATATCCAGGGCACGGTCCGAGGAACTTCCCCCTTTACCTCTATCACCAACCTCCAGAGAATTTCTGCTTGGCATGTACTTTAAATGCCCTCTTGCCGTACAAACTTCCATACTTTCTCTGGGATTCGAACGCGGTTACAAACTTCCATACTTCCTTCGAGGATTTAGAACAAAAGTAAAGATTTTAACAAATTTTAAGTAACTGACTATTGTGAGAATGATGGCAACATCAATGACTGAAATTAAATGACGATGGTAAAAGAATAGTAAATGAACATAAGTTAACAAAATTCACTGATTAAAGAATATAAATTTAAAAAGCGTTGAGTTCCTAAAAATAACTAACTAGTACCTAGAAATAATCGGAAAGACAACACTGAAAATGAGCATTTTGTAATCAAGGAACGTTTTAATAGTCCTTGTAGACTTAGGGTTTCTTGTCTCTACTATTTGCCAAATGCCACTACTTAAGTAGAGCGGGAAAATCGTGGTGCTGATTTGTGAGTATATCTGCTTGCAACACTCTGCGATTTTTGCAATCTGCAGCAACAAAGAACAAACAACTTAAGGAAAATTTTGATTTTTGTTGACAAAAACTGAAATTAAGTTTATTACTGGGATTTTGAAATCCTCAAAAGTGATACTTGTAATAGCAAGAATCTGAGCGATTTCCCAGATTCAAAAATAAAGACATGTGAAATAAAAACTTCTTTAATTCGGTCACCCACTGATGAAGAGGAAGGAAGAAAATGTTGAAAATTATGACAGGCATGATGAATATCTTCCAACTTGATATCTGAAAACATTCTTGCCATCCGCCAATTCTTGGGGAAGAACCGCATGGTACCTGTGTCTCAAACATGCAACTAACCAAGCTTTTTAATTCAGCGCGAATTATTCTATTTCCACAATTCAGTGATTAAAAAATGCAATTGAGTAACGTAGAGGAAGTTCCAGGGAGTACGTTGCTTGCTTTAAATAATATTCTGTGTCATATATTCCGAAATCGTTCCTATTTTTCGAACAGAGCATAAAATGTTAGGACAAGTGCATCGATACTGACGGAAAACACTTTTAAGGAAGGCCAGTAATATACGAAATATAATATAATTTGTTAAACACAATTTAGGTTATTTCAGCGCACATTCTCTTAAGCCTGAAATCTCGGTCAAAGCACATATATTATATCACGTCAGGTTGTTTTTAAAATTACTTACCAATACAATTTCTAGGTCCAGCAGAGAAAGGCACGTATGCAAATGGATGTCTTCCAGCAGAGTTTTCTGGCAAGAATCGGTCCGGATCAAACTTCTCTGGATTTGGAAAAACTTCTGGATCACGGTGCAGACAGTAAGTGAACACCACACAGGTTGCTCCTTTAGGAATGATCCGACCATCTGGAAGAAAGTGCGAATTAAACAAACCTTCGACACATTTTGGGTCTCAGTTATTTTTATTGTTATTTGCAATGGATTTATAAGTTGACAAAATTTGCTATCAAATTGCTCTCATGCCAGATACTTAAAAGAAGCCCTTCCTTGATAATTTTTACATTATGCGTAAAGCAATTATCAAGAGTAATTTTGATATTTTCAGATAGTAGAGCGGTTTATACGTTACAAAAGGAGAAAATATGACAATCGTATCTTTTCTAATCAGATATATGATAGATGGTCATTTCGTTTTTAATCGGATATATTGTAGAGACATTAGCTAATCTCGAAATAGGAAAGTTGAAAAATGAGCAATGCCCTCGCCGGGATTCGAACAACGGATATAATATGATAGATGATCGTATCTTTTTAATCAAAATGACAGGAAGTCACGCGATAGAAATAAAGAAAAACAAAAAAAACGAAGGAGAAAAAAGAAAGAAACAAGATTTTTTAAAAATTTTCTTTGCAGTTTAAAAGATAAAGGAATTATAAACGAGGAATTCAAAAGAAAACAATGTTAACGAAATTCTTCATTTATATTAGCAATATTATGTAAAAAATATTATTAAAAAATATAGCAATATTATGTATTAATAAAAGTAATGTATGTCAAATGGGACAGCATAAACAGTAAACATTGGCTGTTCTGAAGAAGCTATAATGTTATCACAAATTACAGACATTATGAGATTTTGGGAATTTAAAACATACCTGCGCGCTCGCCGGAATGTAAATCTTGTATCTTCCAATGACCAACTGGACATGCTAACCACTTACATCGTGCAGGGAAGGTCGTTTAAATCTTGTAATTAGAGTTGAATTCGCAAGCTGTTTAAGATACATTTCCACTCCCTAGGATAGATGATCTTCTTGAATGTCTTAGTGAGTGTAAAGTTTTCACTGCATTATACTTAGCTCATGGATATTTACAGATTCCTTGAACTGAAGAAGCGAAATCGAAAACAACTTTCATCACTCCAGATGATACTGGTCAATTTGAATGTGTGAACTTTGGGTTAGCTAATGCACCTGCAGAATTTCAGAGACTTATGAATCAAGTTTTAGGTCCATTGCTTAATAAAGAAGTATTGTGCTATTTGGACGACATATTAATTCCGGCTAAATCTTGGGAAGAAATGATGGAAAAACTTAGGAAAGTGTTTGATAGATTGAGAGAAGCAATGCTGACATTGAAACTGACAAAATGCGAATTTGGAAAAAATAAAGCAGAGTATTTCTGATTTCTAATAAAATCAAATGGTATGCAACCTGGACCAAGAAAAGTACGAGCCATATTAAACTTTCCTAAACCAACCAATGAACATGAAGTTAAACAATTTTTAGGTCTTACAAGTTTCTTTAGAAGGTTTGTACCGAAATATGCAGGGAAAGCTGAGTCGTTAACGACACTGACGAGGAAGGATGAAACATTTCATTGGACTAAAGATCAGCAAGAAGCATTCAGTACTTTAAAAAGCCATTTAACTAATGAACCAATACTAGCGTTATATAATCCGGAAGCAAAAACTGAAGTGCACCCCGATGCTAGGAGCAAAGGGCTGGCAGGAATGCTGTGTCAAAAAGGTGAAGATAAAAAGTGGCATTTAGTTTATTGCGTACGTAAATGAACAACAGAAACAGAAAAGAATTATCATTAAAACAAATTAGAATTAATGGCTATAGTTTGGACTTGACACGACTTCGACAATTTTTGATTGAAATACGATTTACGATAATTACAGATTGCCAAGCTTTAGTTTATTTAAACGCGAAGACAACTTAAAATCCTCAGCTATCAAGGTGGAGTAATCTGATCCAGGAATACACTTTTGAAATAAAGCACAGACTAGGTAAAAGAATGAGTAACGTAGATACAGTGAGCCGATCCACAGTTGATCAGCCAGAAGAAACTTTAGACTGTATAATTGAGAAAACTTGGAAGTTTGTCTAACGCTAATGATAGATGAACAAATTCTTATGATTCAGCATTCAGATCCAGAATTACGCAACTTAAATTAATAGACATTTTAAAGAAAAAAGATAAATGATAGAACGAATGCAGAGAAATATGTAACTGAAAATTACGTCTTGAAGAATAATCGATTGTTTCGTAAAGTGAAAGATCAGGAAAAAAGGAGAAATTGTTATATGTCATACCTAAAATCGATGAGAAAAGGTATTGTAGTAAAATTTCACGATCTTTTGGGACATTTTTCAGCAGACAGAACTGTTGCCAAAATCAAGGAATCATACTGGTTTAAAGGAATGAAACGATATGTTATGCGTCACATTTCGATGTGTTTCGAATGCCTAGTAAATAAAGTGCCTAGTGGTAAGAAACAAGGAGTACTGCATCCAATTAGACCTGGTAGAAGACCTTTTGCAATTATACATATAGATCATTTAGGACCATTCGTAAAAAGTTCGAGAGGAAACGAAATACAGAATTATTTGTAATAATTGATAATTTTACAAGATTTACAGGCTTATATCCTATGAAACGTACTGCAACCAAGTATGTGTTAGTTGCATTGAAGAGTTTTGTAGATGATTTTAGGTTACCAGAAAAAAAATTATCAGCGATAGAGGAACATGTTTCACAGCGAAGGAATTTCGAGAGTACTGTTAAAACAATGGAATCAGTCATACACTCAATTCAACTCAACATCCAAGTGGTAATGGAATGGTGGAAAGAGAAAATCGAAAATTTTTGGCTACGATTAAAACGAGTATGGAAAATCCGAATCAGAGAGACTGGGACAAAAAGATTAAGGAATGCGAAAGAAATCTAAAAACAATATGATAAATAAGACTACAAATAAAACTCCTTTCGAAATGCTTCACGGTTATTCACCAAAATTTAACGACGGATTGATGAGGATGATTACAGATGAAGACGCAAATGAATGGGAGAATCCAGTAATCTTACAGAATGAAGCTAGAAAGAGAATTGAAGATATGCAGATGAAAATGAAAGCAAATTATGACAAGAAGAAAAGCAATTCTTTAACATTCGAACGAGGAGAAATAGTAGTTATGAGAAGAGTACCTAAATCAACTGGAGAATCAACCAAAACACAACAAAAGTATCGAGGACCTTTGGTAGTTACAGAAGAAGTTTTACCAAGTGATACCTATAGAGTGACTCAATTAGAAGAAGAAGGTGAAAGGACATTTCTTTAGTACGACAGCTCATGTGAGCCAATTAAAGTCATGGCAGTGTCAAGCTGAATCAGAGGAGGACGATGATGATGGTGATGACATTAGTGTTTCTGATAACGATAACAACACGCCGCATTTTACTAAAATTATTACACGGAAAAAGAATAGAAAAGGACGGTGAATCTATATGACAGTTGAAGGCTTTCGAACTACAAATTTTAATATTATAGATTTAATTTTTTTAACTATTAAGTTCTTAATGTTTCAGTTGTATCATCTCAGTGATATGTAAGTAATGCACGAAAAAAGATTTATTTGTATAAGTGAAGAATGTTTCTTAATGAGGAAAGTAGCTAACAAATAATAATCATTTTTTAAAACTTTAAGGATAAGTAACAGCAAATACTAGTAGGCTTCATACCAGCTTTTCAACACAATAGTTCAAAGTACTTCAAAATATATTGATCGAATGTATTGACTAGACAAATAACGAGTAAAACAAAGAAAAAAAATTAATTAAGAATTCTAAGATCTGAAATTAAAAGTGGAAAGGTAAGAAAGTAAATTAAAGGAAAAAACTGATTTTTTTAAAATCGAGTACGCATGCTTATTATCTTTTTAAATTCTAATGCAATATGATTCTTTAACAATTAAAGAAAATATTAAAAAAATTTAAAACATAAAATATAAAAAAAAATTAAAAAATAGACGATTATGAAATAGTTACGAAACTTACGGTATTAGAAACATCTTTTGTTAATTATAACAAAGTATTTTTAGTAAAATATTTTCAGTTGCTATCCTAAACTACATATGTTTAAATTTATGCTAATTAGATTTATTATTAAAATTAAAGAAAAGATTTAAATTACTAAAAGTGTATTTATTGCTTTTAAACAACTTAATAAGTTAAAAGTAGGGTTAATAAGTTTGGCATATATATTTAAGGCCTTTGCTCAGTACACAAGTATCAATTTTTAGGTTCATATGAAGTTAATGTCCAATCCATCCCTGGAGAATCAACTTGACATCGCTTTGTGTTTACAACACAATTAAAACAATTAAAATTTCTCCGAAAGCTCTAGCTTTGAATTTTTGAGGAGATAATTTATATCATTAATTTCGTATTATTAGTCCAAAGGGATTTGAATCCCGAAGGACTATTAGTTTCGTTTTGGCATTTTGCGTAGGACTCATAAATGTCGGTTCACTTTTCAAACTGTTGCCATAAAATGTTAGAGTCCTGCATTATATTTGAAGAAATTAAATAATGAAAATCTGCGTAAATGTATGTATATTTCTCACATTGTCATAAAATAACGGTACATAGAGTCATCGAATTTTGAATAACGTAATCCTCCAACGAATATGAGCATGTGGAAGACCAAATTTGAAATTTGAAATTTGTTTTATGATCGATTTCCTATTTTTCAAAACTTTGACGAATTTTTGATTAACAAACTCAAGGATTTCAAAGCGAGCAATGGCAACGTTGTGCAGAAAAAAACATTTTTATCTCCAGCGCGTGAGTCTCTGTATCGGAAATTCTAAAGATATGCTCGTTTTAAAACTATCTTGCGATATTGCTGTTGCACTGGATCTTATGGTTTAAGTGCGAGGAACATGATATTTAATAAAGAAAGGTAACACACAAAATGTTAAAAAACGCCCCTTTGGACGTAATTTAAAATCTGAAACATTTCAGATTTTTTTTTAAAATTTTATTTTGTAATTCATATAGTAAATATAACCAATATTTTTATTTATCATTTCAGTGCGAGTATAGAGAAAAAACTGATTGGTTAAGCAGATACCTATCAATGACGATATATTATGAGAAAAAGAAATGTAAAATGGTGCAAAAAAATCGTACCTGCATTTGATTGACCCAAACTGCACTAACATACCTACGTTTGATTCAGTATAATTGCAGTAACTATTAATTTTACTTTCAAGTGAATATCTTTTTTAAGACATTTTTTTGTTAAATTTGACTCTTTTAAAATTAAATTCTTAAAGCTTAATCTTCTAATATCTGATTAATTTAACAAATGTGCTTCACCTATTTCAAGAGATTTACAGGACTCTCTCTACTTAACCGAAATACAATTATGTTATTCTATAAAATATTTGATCAAAAATAATAAAGAAAAAACTAATGAAAAAGTTAAAAAAGAAAAACTAACAAACGTAATAACGTCTATTGAACCAAAGAATTAGGAGAATAAAAAAGGAGCCCATTCTCTCTAAAGAAAAACGACATAAGGATTCTAAACGCAGTTAAAAAAGCAGAATTTGATTAAAAATCATCAGTGTGAAATGGAAAGAAGTTACTGAATGTAAAATATCCCGAGGAATACTAACACGAACTGAAGTAAGTTTTTGGATTACTCTAATACAATAGGAATTCAAAGAATGGTCAGAGACACAAGGTTTCTATCAATGAAAAAATAGTAATTTGTCTTTTTACGACATTATATATTCATGTATTTTAATAATGAAATCCTGAGAACATTGTTTATGAAAACTGTTCCATCTCCCCCCTCCCCGCCGAAAAAAAAGGTGAAGCAATTTTTAGAAATGTATAAGAACGTAAGATCATCGAAGCAAACAGTACAATAAATTTGACATTTTCCCCCCCAAAGAGTTAAAATAAAAAATACAATAACTGATACTTACGAAATTCAACATCTTCTGTTATTTCTCGTGCCAAACCTGGGACAGAGGGATATAGTCTCAATGTTTCCTTAAAGAAAAAGTAAGAAAGAAAGGTCATACGTCATGCTAATCAAGTCATGCCAAAGGTCAGTCTAATCACGCGTAAATACATGGATAATATATGTTTTCTGTATTCTATTAATATGACTATAACAGGTTGGTGTATGATCTTGGAGCCGTTCATTTTTAAGAAGGGGTACCAGGTTAGGAATGTTAAAAGCAAATGATGCTTGGCGGCCATACTTTTCTCAAAACAATTCCTTTGGTTACTATTACTGATTATTACTTTATCATCAGTTCAAATTATAATTTAGAACATAAAAAAGGGCTAACAGTGTCAAATAAGGAAACTGCTATGGTTATGTTACCACAGAAACATTATCTTTTACCGTATTTCAAGAACGGAATCGTCTAAAAACACGTGACTCGAATGCATTCCTCTCAATGCCGGACTATAACATCTCACTCAATCAATGAAACTTTCGAGAGTATTATTAGTTTGGAGCTCAGCGTAGATCATATTATATCAAAATCTCCTTTACAACTTTCTTTTCTCAAAGAAATTTAGAACGTGTAAATTATAGGTTAGAACATTACAACGTTAACGAATTTTTGATTAACAAACTCAACGATTTCAAAGCGAGCAGTGATAACACTGCACGGCAAAGAAACATTTTTTATCTTCAGCGCATGAGACTGAGACCATGTCTATCGGAAATTCTAAGGATCTGCTGCTTTTAATATTTTTAGCCACAAGGGGCGTTAGTATAAATGGTCTAGAAAGACACATGTGCGTCTAAATGAAAAAAAAAGACTCTTCTTTGGGCGTAATATAAAATCTGAAGCTTTCAGATTTTTTTCTTGGAAGAATGTGAAAAGCAAGACAGATTACAATGTATCCTGTTCGCCGACCCTGGCTTAAAGAAATATTTAATATCTGTATGTGTCAGAAATTTCTTACAAAGAAGATCTATAAAAATGTTTGCAAATAAAATTAAACCTATTCAGATCTTTAAGAAAGCGTCTAAATGTCACTTGCAGTATCTTTTGTGAAACATCCAAGGTCCTAAATAAGAATTACCTTTAAATTACTTCGCATGACACTTTCCAATGGGAGTGGATAAGCATTTTATTGTAATCCAAAATGTTATAAAAAAAAACTTAATATAATATTTTCACTCATATGAATATCTAAGAGATTTCTGTTAATAACTATTAATTACCTTGACTACACATTCCAGATATTTCATGTCTTTTATGTCATCCATCATCACATCTCGATTGCTTTCGCAGAAGATTGAATCCAATTCGTCGTGAATTTTGTCTTGAATCCACGGGTGCAATCCTATCATATATAAGCACCAGCATACTGCGATCGAAGTTGTATCATGACCCTATGGGATATGTGTAAGCGTCTAAATTCAGCTAACTTTTAAAACTTTTAACTTTCAATTAACTTTTAAGTCTTTTTTAAAAAAGTGAATAAAAACAATATTAAATAAATCCTAACACTATAACATCAAAACATACTAAAATTAGGATGTAAATAAAATCAAATATTAAAAGAAAGTAGTAGAAGTAATTTAAAAATAAGCATTTAATTAAATAATATTCAGAACTATAAATAATGGTATAATATAATAATGGAGCATTAGTCTTAAATTTGAGTGCCATGGGCTTTATTTTAAAGTAAGGACACCTCCAAATTTCTTATATATATTTTTATAGAAATTTTTAAACAAAAACATCCTAAAATTATTTCTGCACGAAATGCTGCTGAAAAATTGATTAATTAAAGATTAAAAGAGCAAAAATTTTTGAAGTAATTCAAATACTTGAAAGAGAATAAAATTTTTAAATTAAAAATAATTTACTATTAAAAAAAGTTTTTAGTGAAAATTATTTAACTTAAGTATAGTAGTTAGGGGAGCCTACTGCGGTATCGAAGGACCCAAATTCGAAAGGCATGGATGACTGCAAATGTATAGTATCTTTGCAGCATGTGAGTATTCTAAATAGTATATGGCGAGCCGAAAATTCTTTCGGAACCCCCCCCCCCCCAGTGTACTCTCCGTCAAAATTGGGGTGGAAGTAGAATTCCAATCTCCTTGAGGCTCTGGCAGCCATTCTTCCATGGAATTCATAGACAAGACAACAGCAAACTCAAACTTTACTTAAAAACATTTTTAACAGTACCAATTTAAAATTTTATTTTATTTCAAGTCTGAGTTAGTTCGAATTTTTTAAATATGCGTACATATATATATATATATATTCTTCTTCTAATTTTCCATACTTTAGCCAGTATTTAGTTTTAAGTTTTTGATATACCAATTAAATCAAGTTCATTAAACATTTAATATTTTCTTTCATCAAATTTAAGTTTATTTAACTTCCTAAAGGAATTTTTAGTTTTTTAGAGGTTTTTTAAGGACTTTCATTTCAAAAAAATTTTGGGAAATTTTACTTTAAAACTTTAATATTAAAACATTTCAGTTTTTCTTAATTACTTTAATTTTTTGCAATTTTCACACAAAATATCTTTCACTTAATTTTTTAACAATTTTCACAATTTTTTCAACAGAACACACACTTTTCAAATTACAAACATACATTTCTTTTTTTTTTTTTTTTTTTCACATTCCACCTCACTTTAATTTCCTTCAAGCAAACATACATCTCTTGATTGGCTCAGTTACTTAACTCTCTAAATAATTGATATTACTACCTTTAGGATTTTTAATTTAATTTAATTTAATTAATATTAATATATACAAAAATTTTTTTACTATAACAAAGATAGCAGCTTGACACTCAACTTTACCTACATAAGCGCTATCTATATAATTTGAAAAACACACTTACTTCTCTTTCACAACACTTTTGCAGATCCCCAACACTCATATAGTAGGTAAGTTAGAATTAAAACTTACTATTTACTTGCTTTAAGTATTTTTTTAAAAATTTTTTTATGTAGTATCTAAGTATTTTCTAAATATGAAATTATATTTTTAAATATATATTTATTTTAAAAATTGTGAATTAGTTCTTTTTGTTTCTTTTTGTTTTTTATTTCTTATTTATATGGATTATGCATAGTTCTTTTATAGTTTCTTTTTATTGATATGCAAATTCGTGTAGGGGAAGTTTCTGTAGACAAGGATTTCTAAAATACATTGGTTTCTAGATTTTTTTATTATTTTATAAAAGATTAATTTTTAAAAATTTAATTTTTTAAGAAAAAGTTTAATTCTTGACTTTACTTGCTTGTTTCTCAAAAGACTTAATTAGTATTTTCCTTTTTGAACTTTAATTCTTAAATGTTAATACTTAAATGTTAAATTCTAAGGGTAACCACTTTATTGGAATTACTTTTGGTTTTGACTTTTACCCTTACCTGCATAAATGACGAAACACGAATTGAATGATTGGAGAGTTAGGTTTGGAGGCAACTTCCCCTTGATAAGTCTGTCTCCTGCCTACTCTACGATCATTCACATATGCATTTTTTAAAAAAAATGTTTAATTTAATTTTAATTTATTAAATTAGTAGATTTATTTTCATGGATAGATTTTGCACTTGATTTGCTTATGATTCTGAATTTAAATGATATTGTAGATTAGTTCGAGAATTAAATCTTTTACATGTTTGCATATTTTTACATTATTTTAAATTATTTTGGCTTTTTTCTTTTTTTGGAATTTAAATTTGCTTTTTTACTTTTTTACTTTTATACGTATTTGTTAAGAATTTAAATTTGTTTAAATATATATATATATATATATAAAGCGAATTTAGCCTGCGGCTACGAAAAACGTGACGCTCTAATTTGTGCCTAATTGAAAAATGTTTACATTTTTCACAGCTTTGCAGCAAAAACTGAAAGAGATAGAGAAAGAGCAGAAAGCAGCACTTCAGCTATGCCGAAAGTATAGAAAGAAAGTGCTTTGCTTAAGAATGAAATCTAAATTCAGAATGAGTTAGTATTGATTCTCAGGGCATTTGATTGGATAATTAATACTGCTGTAAAATTATTATTGTCTATTTGAGTTTTAGTGACATTTACATAGTCAGTGTTATGTAACAGTCATATGACATGCGTTAGTCTCGAAGTGAGGTAGTGCAAAAAAACGGTCACTATTTTTAGAATAGAGAGGGGGAAAAACTCGAATTGAAACTAAGCATTAAGGAGCTATTACGAATTTAATAATTTCAATTTTAATTTATATTTTAAGTACTTTTTATCTTACATATATACATGCACATATATTTAAGAAAGTGAAAGTCTCATTCACATACTATATATATGAAATGTAATTTCTCATACATTATTTGTTTTATGCAGCCGGGGCAACAGGAATGAGACAAATTTTGGAATATAAAGTGCTAGGTTTATTTTAACATCCATCTCACAAGCGTTCTAATCGTACCTTGAGCAGAAGCACTACTTTTACATATGTGTGCGTCACGAGGCTCATCCAATCAGCGATATTAATTGAAATCACGAGGTGACGCTATCTTCTCATCAGGAGTGTTCTTAAGGACTTTATGTAATATGACAGATTTATGACTTTGGCGATTTGGCGGGCGCCAACAGGTTAATATATTTTATACTAAAGAAAGGATTTCGCCAAAAAATTTAGGAACAGGGATGCAATTTAGGTAGAGAATCGCCAACACATTATTAAGCAATATTAATAGAATTTAATTTAATCAATTGATTTAAAAATATCATTACATATATATGAATGAAAGGAATACATACCTCGAATGTGAAAGTATCTACTTCTTCTCTTATCTCGGTTTCGGTAATAGAATTGTTATTTATGTGTTCATCGAGCAAAAGATCCAGAAGCGCTCTGCTCTTAAGTTTACGATAATTATACGTATCTTGTTCTTTAACTGGTGTTTCACCTTTTCTTTTATTTTCTAATTTTTCTTTCTTCTTTTCAGCGATTACCTACGACCAATCAAATATTAGAATTCTAAATTTGAGATACGATACATACATTTTACGGATTTTATATTAATTAATCAATTTTAATGATTTGGATTTGGTACTGTTCTCGTTTTTTTAGGCCTCACCAGGATTCCATTCATATTAAGAGTATTTATAGAGGATTTTAAGAATTTTTGATACAGAGCTCTTGGCAACGGCGCTCGCAGCTTTAATTTCTATCGCCCATCTCTTGCCAGTTCGTACTCCGGTGTTAACTTTGCTTATGTAAAAATGCTAATTTAAAAACCTTCATATAACTTTTGTATATTTTCCGTCTAAGCGATAACTCGCCTGGTAATCTAATAGTTTTTTTTAAGAAATAAACATTTAGTGAATTTTACACAGTTAAGACTCTATAACTGGCGTCCAACAATCCAGATCCATGCCCGGACACAGCGCGATATTTAGCCTAGCCACTTGCTCCTCAAGACTCCAAACTGCTTCAACGCTGCAGAGCCCTAAAGATGGGTTTCGGTATATTTTGGATGCCATGAAAACGTCTATGCAGCAAGGTAGCAGTTTCGATAGTGGAAGTTCCGTTTTTCACTTTCATAAGAAAGTTTAGAAAGTGACGTTTTATTATACTACACTCATGTCCATAAATTAAGGATAATGCAAAATCAGGCAAAGGAAGAGTTAGAAGCGAAATAAATTTGGCTTATTTGTAAAGCTTATTTATTAAACAAAAGGTAAAAAGCAAAAAAAGATGCTATATGTTTATAATTATTAAAAAAATAGCGATTTTTCCTCCCTGGATTAAATTACCAACCTATTTACAGAAAACCAATATTACATGGTTGGTATGATTGTTAATACATTGTATGTCTCCCAGACGATGCAATACAGTCCGTACAACGCCTAGGCATGCTGAGTATCAAATTATCGATCTGATCTTGGGGGATATTACACCACTCAGCCATGCTCTCCAAAGTTCCGGTAGACATGTAGGAGGAGATTGACGGGTTGCAACTCGTCGGCCAAGCAAGTCCCACACGTGGTCTACTGGATTCAAGTCCGGTGAGAATGCTGGCCAGTCCATACGGGTGATATCCTCCGATTGAAGGCATTCGCTTACGATGTTTGCACGGTGAGGACGGGCGTTGTCATCCACAAACACAAATTGTGCGCCGATGGCGCCCCGAAACAAACGTACATGTTGTTCTAGATTGACGTCCCGATAGATTTGGCTTGTCGTGGTTCCAATTTGAACATGCAGGTCAGTTCTGGAACCCAGAATAATTCCACCCCCAAACGAGCACTCCTGCACCACCGTAACGGTGTCGTTCAATGATGTTTTCTTGGTGGTAACGGGTACCTGGATCTCTCCATATGAAAGTCCGGGCGAGAATCAGACTGCAAGCTAAACCTGGACTCGTCGGAAAACATCACACAAGCCCACTGTTGCGGTGTCCACAATGCATGCTCTCTACTCCAGGATAACCGCAGGTGACAGTGAGTTGCTGTAAGTGGAACGCACCTGACAGGTTTACGAGCATATAGACCAATATCTACCCTAAGCGTCTGTCACGGTCTGCTTTGAAATTGTCGTACCAGTGGCTGAAGAGAGCTGACGAGACAGGTCTGAGGCTGTGATCCGCCTGTTTCTTTCGGCAGTAACTGCCAAATAGCGGCCCTCATTCGGCGTTGTAACTCTGGGGCGACCTGTGCTGTAACGTCTACTCACATTACCATCATCTGGGAATCGTTGCCGAAGCCCGGAGATGACACTATGGGCAATTCCAAGTTCGTCTGATACTTCCAGTTGGGTATGCTCACATTCCAGACTGCCGATAATTCTACCACGTAAAAAATCTTCCAAATGCGTTCTTTGTGTCATAACTATTAGGTTATTGCACTGAAATGCTTATAAAGCGCCTGCGAACAATTTTACTTCTTTGCCTGTATACCTTATATATCACTCTCTTACACTCTCGTCATTGTGACGTACCATCGGTGTCATCTGGTTACTTCCTGAAATTTGCATATGATTCTTGAAGATGTGTGTAGTGATTTTACAGGTGATATATTTACTTTAGAGTTCGATTTCTGCGTGACTCCGAATTATCCTTAATTTATGGACCTGTGTGTAGATTGATGTGGCACAAAAGGTTGGTATAGCAAACATCTCCTGCAAAGTGAAGCATTGAAATTGGTGCCTGCTTGCTGGTGCCTCCTGCTGCTGTTAAACAACTAAATATTTTAATTCCTGGCGATATATCTGGCTTTTTAAGTTGATGTTAAAACTCAGAGGTACGTAATCTATATATATATATTTATAGAAGTGAGTTTGTTTGTTTGTTCGCTAATAACTCAGTCACTACTACAGCTATCGTCACCAAACTTTCTACAATTCTTTTCTGGATACTAGAAAAGGTGGACGTCTACTTTTTTCCAAAAGAAAGTAGCTAAAATCAGAGATATTAATTAAAAACTCGAAAAAACGGTAATTTTCGCCTTCATTTCTTCGAATGGCAACAGTCTCGCAAGCTGGAAATGAAAATCTGCTTTCTTTCGAAAGTTGTTGCCACTACTCGCGTTCAAATCATGGAGTTTCATTATAAAAAAATTCAAAGTTTTACAATGAAATAAAAATAGCATTACCAAACATTAAATATATTATTCCCTATTCTAAAAATTTGTGGGAAGCCATTTCGAATATTCTCATCTTCATACGACTTTAATCAGCCGAAACATTAATTTAAAACTCTAAAAGCGCTAATTTCCGTACTCATTTTTCCGAATGGCAGCAGTCTCACGCGTTGGAGATAAAAATGCTTTTTATTTCGAAAAGAGTTGCTACTGCTCGCTGTGATATCGCAGAGTTTGTTAATCAAAAATTTCCTTAAAACTTTTGGACTTTAAAATAATTTCAGGAACTGTATTTAAATTTTCGATTAGACAATTTGTGTGGCTTTTCTTTGAATTATCTGAAAAAAAGACATGCGCAAAATTTCGCTATAAAATTTTAACAAAATAATAAAATACTCAGTGTGCAAGAACATAAAAGGATCATTTTATGTTGAGGTTTAAACTATTCAGGTTTAAAAATGACATGTTAAAGAAATAATTTTAGAAAATCCTTATAAAAGAAAGAAGTATTTAATTTAACATTCTCACATAATGCAATTTTTGGCAGACCCCCATGTAAATTTATGTGTGTGGATAAGAGCTATCTGTTTTAAACTAAACGATAACTATTATGAATACTGAAGAACATTAGCTTAAATAGCTATTATAAGTGATAAAAGCGCTTCTTTGTCTTGAACATTTTTCTGTTTATTGACGTTTTACTATTTTTCTTAGAGTAACCCTATACCTTGTCTGGACATCTTCAGTATCATTACCAATCGTTTTGATAATCAGGTGCTCAAAGAAAGACAAATAATGATTATAGCAAATGTTCTAAATTTTATCCACAAGCAAAACAATTCTTGCTATCTAAAATAACACTTATTTGAAATTATAAAACTGACATCCAGAACGACGAAAAAATTATTTTCTTGAGATATTTTACTGTTTGACCCCTGCAAAAAATATACGCAAGAATTTCATAGATTATCATGGATTCATCACAGAAATGGTAATCTACATACTGAATCAAAACAATAATTATAAACATATCATGCTGCTGATTCACATAACTGATGTCTGACTGCTAAACTTTATCTCTTCCCTTTCATATACAGTAAAATTTCTGTTTTCCAAGTTTCAGTTCCATGAATACATTTTGTGATTATTTTTGAAATTCTCAGATCTTTAAAAAACGCTATCAACTTTTAAGTAAATTCTTCTGTCTAGAGTTTGACAAGCAACCTCTAATGCAAAATCTTTCTTTCTGAGGAAACAGTCTGTAACTTCACTTAGGAAAATCTTGTAAAATACTTTGATTATGCCAGATATGCCATGATTACGTATAGTTCCTTTTTGAATTAGTGGGAATATCAAATAGTGAAATTGTCAATGACCATCAATCCATTTAACAGAATATAAAAATTCATCACTTACTGTAGTGGTGAAGTCATGCAGCGTTTTGAGATTCTCTCTAAAACTTCTTCCGATAGCTGTCATTTGGAACACAAGAAAAGGCCACAGCCAAGGCCTTTGCATTCTTTCAAACACCGCACTTGATACTCTGGAACAAATACGATTAATTCTATCAGTAACAGAGAAATATTGTACGTAATAAGTTACAGAAAGATACACAATTTTTCTTAAAGAATTAAATTTTTTAAAACTCTAAGGAATCGTGGGGTTCTAATCATTTATCTAATACCTAAGTGTGTAGGAACCTTGTGAACACTTAAGTGAATAATCTCTTTAGTTCAGAAACAGATACGTAAAACTTAAGAAGGGTTAATTTATTTCTCAAAATAAGAACTTAACAGAGGGATTTAAGAATGTCCTGAAGGAATTTATTTTGCGTGATTTGTAGGTTTTTGGAACTGTACTTGTTAATGCATACACAACCAGATGAAACGTAGAGCAAAAAGAAATGGATAATGATAATATAAATTAAAGATTTAAAATTCCAGATCCAAAGTATAATTTCTAGAGATGAGTAATCTCAGCCTATACTCTATTTCTAGAATCCTGATAGTAACCTGTTTTTGAAGACTCTAACGGGTAGACTACTTACTTAAGCGTCCAGTGGCTGCCCATACAGAGATTTAGACTATCTGAGTGCTGATTAGTATACCTTTTGTTTTGTCCCAATGGGAGAGCAAATCGTCATAGACGTTGGCCACTACTAAGGCCAGAAGCGACGATCACCTTATTATGGAGGCACCTAATACGTGGCCGTTATCTCCTATGAAGAGACGGTTATAACCTTGCCTTCTCTGGGATTCGAACCCGGACCCTTCGATATCGCAGTCGACTGCCCTAACCATTATACTGTCTGTGCGGCCCGATTAGTATCTAAACGATGGTATAAACGACACTGTGAAGGCAGCTAATTGCTTTGACGCTCATTCATCAATGCCTAGAAGTCTAGAGATAAATTCAGTATTGTGATGATGTTTAGATTACGATTGGGAACTTCATATAATTAAATAATTCCGATTTCTAAGGTTTAATATTAATTTTCCAAGTTGCACATCACTCCTAGATATCACATACACTAACCTGTGACTTCGATTTCATCGCAACGGCAGTATGCGCTTACATGCATGGAAATGGCAGTAATAGTATAGCAGAAAAAGAAGTAAATTAGATGGACGCCATGTACACATCTTTTCTGATTAATTACAGCAGAGTGGTTTCGGAAGATTTTAGTTCCCTATAACAGCAAAATGAGAGTCTCTCAATGACCGTTTAAGCCACCAAACTGATTCTTTATAAAACATATTCGGCATCTCGTACTTTGACGTACAACACAGAAATCGTACACCTCCAAATATTACAACGTTATAGAGAACTATGCAGGATATATATATATTTAGCACATGGGAAAAGTCACTAAAATGCCCATGCAGCCAGCCCGTTTCTAACCGGATTCTAACCTCGAACCGACCTACCAGTGTTCAGCGACTATACCGCTCGGTTGCTGGTGGGTCCCTAATAGCAAAATGAGTGTTTGAAGCCATCCGATATATCACTAGTCGTCAAAAGTCGCCAAATCGAGTGTGTATCGCATACTAGGATGCGAACGAAATTATAAAGCTTATAAATATTAACTGAATATATAAAAGTTTCCTTACTTTATGAGAGCCTTGAGATACGGACAGTTTTCGTCAGTCTGAGCGCATATTTCAGCTCCCAGAATAGTTCCTGTAAGTTTAAAGAAAAATGAAATAATAAACACTATTCCTTATGTCAAATATTTATACCAATAAAATAGGGTTTCTAAATTTTGAATTCACTTACCACATATTATATCAAGACTGCACTTAGTAATGAGAGGAACTATTTCCACATACTTTTCGGCTGCGTGCTTTTTCAGAACCTCTACCAAAATCCTTGACTCTTTGTTCATCACTGGCAGAAAATCATGCAGGATGTTAAAGTGGAAAGCTGGTGTTAACATCTTTCGTCGATTTTTCCATTTTGTATTATAACTTTACAAATAAAATAATACGCATGTAAATGATAACGTTGTAGGATTTTCTCATACCTTTCAATCAATAAAAAAATTACTCACCTGGTTAACAATCCTAAGCCCAGCCAAGGATGTAACAGATCATAAAACCAAGCTTTCTTCAGTTGGGTGCTATGATTCAGTATCATCTGATGAGAATAAATGAAATTAATTGATGTTTAGTTTTACACACAACACAAGATGACAAAGGAAAAACAATGGCAAAATATATTTTTCTTCTTAGCTATTTTAGGAAATTTAATAGCTTGTTTTGCATGCTTGAATTATAAATTTACTCAAAATAAGTGACGCGGTTTCAGACTTCATATCTGTTAATATCCTTCTTCTCTGTTAAAAAAGCTCAGAAGAACGTCGTCTCGTGTTGTAAAACTGTAGCACTTGAATTTTGCTTGTAGCTCGTTAACTGTGCGACATATGTATAACGTGATATTATCCGTGATAAAATATTTCATGTGTTAAAACGTCGTTAAAATATATTTTAATTATTCGGCGCGATGTCGTATGTTTGTTAAGGGCCTTTATGCAAAGAAGCTTGGATTTCTTTGATCGGAAACAAATCTGTATGATGTCACAAATACATATATACCAGATTTCTCAATTTCTGAAGACGTGTTCTTTCTTATCAACGGGCTATTCTACGACCTAAGCCTTTTCAAACAGTTTAAGCTATTCAAAATGTTATGGCAATCAGTCTTTGAGAGCTTCAAAAGAGGTATTCTATCTGTGTTTACAGAAATGTCATCAGCGAAGCACGTATACTGCTTACGGATGTTAAGCAAGTGTTTACGGATGTTACTTAGAGCGTGTGTAGGGAATAATATTTTACAATTCAAATATAAGCTTTTCCCGAGAAACGCTCAGAATTTAAGAATGTTAATTTAATATAAAGAATGTTCCAGAAAGAGAGCACAACTATCTACCTTTTATAAAGTTGGCACGGATCCATGGTTTCAATTAAAGAAATAAAGGAAATAAGGAATGTCTTCGCACTAGGAAAATTTTAGTCACGCGATGAAGTTTCGAACATAAAGGGGCTCAAACACGCAAAATTCAGGATTCTCTAGGTTCTCCAAGGTAAGTGGTAAGACTCAAAGTGAGAATATGACAGCTCTGCTCAATGACCCGATGTTTTTTGTGCTGAGTTTTCGTAAGGTAGGTTAGGTTTCAAATCAGAAGAGAGACACACCAAAGTGAAACTTGTTGTTGTTGTTACTAATCTCCATGCCTAGGAATATACTAGACGAGGTCCACGAGTCCATTCACCTTTAAAAATCGAAAACAAGCTCCTTTAAAAAATCCACAAGAGACAACTCCAGGCACTCAAGGATATGTGCCGGTGATGCGGGTGCATTGTGATACTTAGAAAAAATTGGGTACATCTTGATACCACTCTCAAAAGTAAGTGCCCTCAGGCGCCCACTGAAGAATCGGGAAAGTGCTGTCTGAACGCATCTTTCGCAAGGGATCTTCCAGGACAATCAGCTTGATACCAGGGATGACTCAGGTGAACGAGCCAAAATTGCCTGTCAGCATGTCTTCTAATGGAATGCAGTTCAAGATATGTCAGTGAATTGATAATTGGCAAAGGTTCTTCAGAAGCCTCCTTCGCCAGAATGTCTGCCATTTCATTCTCCCATATATCAACATGGGAAGGAATTCACTGAAGATGCACTTCACAAAGTCATGAGACCTGCATAAGTTTGCTAAGAATTGCAGCTCCGGCCCTATCACCAACTCTTTGCCAGTTTTGAAAGATATTTGATAGCGCTACGACAGACAAAATCCGTACTGCCTTAATCTTTAACTGTAAAGTACAAAACACATTAGTCCTTCTTCGATGGCTATAAGCTTACTCTTAAAAACCGAACTAAAGTCAGAATTTCTTTTCTTTATTTTAACAATATTTCCATTTGTGCACTTATAGACAACACCACTACCGGAGCGAGAGTCCTCGCTTTTACTCCCATCAGTATAGATGAGGGTAGCTTCAGCGGGAATTGCATGTATAGTTTCCAAGGCAGATTCTCGTAGTAGAGCCGGAATATCACTTTTCTTGGAAACTCGAGATGAAAGTTCCGCATGGAACCCGACTCCGGGGAGTCCCTCAGACGGATCTAAACAATGTTTCAAGGAATGTTGCTCAACATTACGGTCAATTATACCAGCATACTCAATTTGACAAAGTGGACTATTTTTCTTAAGTCTTTGGGTATTACTCCATGCTGTAGAAATTCTGAAGTTCTGTTTCTGGAGCCGTAAACTGAGAAGTTTATTATAAATAGAGGCCTGCATTTCTTCTTAGACTGAGGGGTTAAGGTCTACTCGCAATTTATTCGGGCAACTGTTGCGCAAGCCAGTTATAATGCGAGAACACTAAGTTGGGACTTTCCATTTATGGAGGGTGGAAAAGGCACAACAGTAAACGGTAAACGGTATTCCAAATAGGTCGTATGATAGCGAGTAAGTATTCTCAAAGTGCAAGCATCGGCTCCCCAACTACATCCCGAGATATATTTCAGAATGTTTAGGCGTTTTTTTTGCCTTTAAAAACAAGCGCATCCACATGTTTGTTACTAGTGATCTCTGGATCGAGAACGAAGCCCAAATATTTGGGATGTTTGTGATATGTAAGAGGTACATTATTCATAAAAACCTTTGGATGATAATTATAAATCTTATTGGTGGTAAAAAACTAACAATAGATTTAGTTGGATTAAAACTCTATTTGTGGTCTTTCGAGAATTTCCACACTTCTTCAAGGATAAAATTTATATTGGTCTCAGTTGAACTCACATCTGGGCTAGAGCTCCAAAGGGCAATATCATCCGCAAATAACCTCACATCTCCTTGATATAATCTTTTCAATACAAGCCAAATACAGGCAGAAAAGAATTGGGCTCAACACAAAACCCTGGGGGACGCCTTGGCTCAATTTAAAGGCGTTTGACATAGTGGAATTAAGCTTTACTTTTATCAGTCTATTTCTTAAGAAATCTGCGATCCAGATCAAGGCTTTACCCCTGATGCCAAAATCTTCGTAGAGTTTAACTATTAGTTAACTCCAAACAATACTTACATATTCCAAGCATACTTGGCGCTACCGTTACACCACGAAGGCATGCAGAAAGGGGGAGAAAATACCTTACAATCTCAGGGCGTGGCCTGTTATGAGCATAAGACCAACTTGCTTGGTTAAGTTGGTCGGGCTGTGCCCACTCCTGTTGCTTTATAATCTAATTTGTTTTTAAATTTTACATAATCCCTTTTTACATTGCCGATTTAACAGTCCCTTAGCGAGAATTAGAGCTACGAAACTTCCAAATGCGAGATGGACATTCTGACAACTTACACCATGACAGCATGAATGGAGGATGCGATACTTTACAACTGAAGTTAAAAACAACTGCAAAACAGGTTAAGTTTATCTCCTTTGACTTTGTATAGAACTTTTGCTCAGGGTGTTTTGGTTGAGTGTTATTTGCTAACATTTTAACTGTAGCAGATTGTAACATATTGATTGCTTTTTATCAGCAAAGTTTCAATTGTTTTTCTGAACTCATTATTCCTTGTTTATCCGTAGGTTTGCTTTACTCTCCGAAAGCGAAAATGGTGATTAGTAAGTTTGTATTCCTGTTTTCAATTTATTCGCGATTATCTGAGATAGCTTCAAGATTATTTCAGCTATCTCAATTTATTGTTTTATCGGCAATTCGTTGTTAATAAACCAAACTCTGTGCCTGTTTAAATTGATTTCAAAATACACTGGTTATCATAAATTAAGGAAAAATCACAAAGTAGCGATAACTCTCTCAAAAATAAGCCAAACCGTGTAAAATTTGAATATGTTGCCAAGTAAGAGTAGCTGAGTAAAACTGCGATATGCAAATTAGTGGCACTGCTTTCGGAATACGTCATCTGCGAGGAGCATAAAAGTCCATGTTTGAAAGCAAGCCCACATATTTTACTGTGGCAGTGACATCAGAAATCTGAGATAACCAATTCGAAACAATGACCTCCAGGCATCATTTGCCTGTAGAACTGCGATGGAGAGCCATTGGGAGACTAGAGGCAGGACAAAGTCAAGCAGAAGTGGCCAGATGGCTAAATGTGAGTCCTTCTGTGGTTCATAGACTTTGGAGGCAATTTCAAACCACAGATTCGGCACCTAGGAGGTTCAGCCAAGGACGGCCAACTGCTACGACGATCGCCGATGACCGATATTTGAAATTATGTTAGCTCAGGAATAAAACCGCTACTCCGATTTTTCTTAGATCCTCCTTCCCTTACTGCGGAAGGTTGGTGTCAAAGTCAACTGTGCGTAGAAGGCTTCACGAAGGTGGTCTGTCTGCGAGGCGAACAACCATTTGCGTGCCGCTCAAGTCACGCCATAGGAGGGACCGTTTGCAGTGGGCACGACAACATGTCCACTGTACGCCTGAGCAATGGCGGGCTATTCTCTTTACGGATGAGTCCAGGTTTAGTAAAGATTTAATTATTTAGTTATTTAGTCAGGTTTAGTTATTTGATGAGGAGAGAACCTGGAATCTGTTATCATCCGTCAAACATCCGTGAAAGAGATGCATACGGAAGAGGCAGTGTCTGTGTTTGGGGTGGCACCTCTTTGGTTGGACGCACAGATCTCCATGTTTTTCCAAGGGAAACCGTGAATGAATGCTCATATTTATAGAGATGACATCCTTGATGCTTATGTGCGCCCATATGCCGGGGCAATACGTGGTGCTTTCCTGTTACAGGACGACAATGCAAGACAACACAAGGCTCGCATCGTATATGATTATCTTCAACTGGAAACAATAATGCGCATGGAGTGACCAGCTCGATCCCCGGACTTGAATCCTATCGAGCACGTTTGGGATGCATTAGGGAGACGTCTATCTGCTCTAAATCCGCCCCCTCAAACTCTTGTCGCGCTTGCAACTGTTTTGCAAGAGCAATGGCTCTCGCTTCCTATGGAACTGATAGACCGCATAATTGAAAGCATCACACATATCTGTATGTGTTGTATTGCTTCTAGAGGCGATCATATTTCCATATTGAAGGTACTTTTCCTATAGCAAACTGACACCTTCGATTTGTTCATTTTATACATGTGCTAATTTCTATACTACCATATTTGTCTGGTAATTTCTTTTTATGTTATTTGATACCTTACTATGTGTTGTATATTGTGGGCAAGTTTCATTACATTCTACGTGTAACGTTTTCAGTAATCGTGATTTTTGTGATTTTTCCTTAATTTATAATAACCAGTGTATATAAGCATCTATAATAGAAGCGAAAGAACTTAGGTTTGTTAAAATATTTTATCGAATTATCTTTATTCCGTTGTGATACCCGATTAACAATGTTACACTTCTCGAACAATCATCATGTTATTAAGTAAAAAGAAACAATAAATAAATGAAATGAAGGAATTTAGAATGAAATTGGGAAAACTGTAACGGCTATATGCTTTTGACTGACGATTATAAATATATATGTTATATATTATTATATTGTATTTTCTTTGCTATATATTACTTACTTCCACAGAGTCCGCCTTGTAAACTGTTATAAAAGGAATGTAGAACTGCCACAAATTCGTCACATTTTCTTTTCTAAAAATTTGCATGTAGCCATTAAACGCTAGGAGGTCATCTGAAAATGATATAAATATAACTTGAAAGGTTCTTTTTAATATAATTTTAAATTAAATCTTTAAGGTGTTAGTTACATCTACTCATATAAATCTTTACTGGCAACATGAGTTAAATATTTGCACTCATGTCCATAAATTAAGGATAATGCAAAATCAGGCAAAGGAAGAGTTAGAAGCAAAACAAACTTGACTTATCTGTAAAGTTTATTTATTAAACAAAAGGTAAAGAGGAAAAAAAGATGCTATATATTTGATATTATTGAAGAAAATTAGCGATTTTTTCTCCCTGGAGTAAATTACAAAAAAAACCTATTTACAAAAAACCAATATTACTTGGCTGGTATGATTGTTAATACATTGTATGTCTCCCAGACGATGCAATACAGTCCGTACAACGCCTAGGCATGCTGAGTATCAAATTATCGATCTGATCTTGGGGGATATTACATCACTCAAAAAGCAATGCTCTCCGAAGTTCCGGTAGACATGTAGGAGGAGGTTGACGGGCTGCAACGCGTCGGCCAAGCATGTCCCACACGTGCTCTACTGGATTCAAGTCCGGTGAGAATGCTGGCCAGTCCATACGGGACTTCAATCCTCCGATTGAAGGCATTCGCTTACGGTGTTTGCACGGTGAGGACGGGCGTTGTCATCCATAAACACAAATTGTGCGCCCATGGCGCCCCGAAACAAACGTACATGTTGTTCCAGAATGACGTCCTGATAGATTTGGCTTCTCATGGTTCCAATTTCAGCATGCAGGTCAGTTCTGGAACCCAGAATAATTCCACCCCAAACGAGCACTCCTGCACCACCGTAACGGTGTCGTTCAATGATGTTTTCTTGGTGGTAACGGGTACCTGGAGCTTTCCATATGAAAGCCCGGCGAGAATAAGACTGCAAGCTAAACCTGGATTCTTCGGAAAACATCAGAAAAGCTCACTGTTGCGTTGTCCACAATGCATGATCTCTACTCCAGGCTAACCTCAGGCGACAGTGAGTTGCAGTAAGTGGAACGCATCTGACAGGCCTACGAGCATATAGACCAATCTGCCCTAAGCGTCTGTACACGGTCTGCCTTGAAATTTGTTGTACCAGTGGCTGAAGAGAGCTGACGAAACAGGTCTGAGGCTGTGGTCCGCCTGTTTCTTTTGGCAGTAACTGCCAAATACCGGTCCACATTCGGCATTGTAACTCTGGGGCGACCTGTGCTATAACTTCTACTCACACTACCATCATCTTGGAATCGTTCCTAAAAGCCTGGAGATGACATTCTGGGCAATTCCAAGTTCGTCTGATACTTCCAGTTGGGTACGCCCACATTCCAGACGGCCGATAATTCTACCACTTAAAAAATCATCCAAATGTCATAACTTTGTGTCATAACTATTCGGTTATTGCACTGAAGTGCTTATAAAGCGCCTGCGAACAATTTTACTTCTTCGCCTGTATCCCTTATATATCACTCTCTTACACTCTCGTCATTGTGACGTACCATGGTTACTTCCTGAAATTTGCATATGATTCTTGAAGATGTGTCTAGTGATTTTACAGGAGATATATTTATTTTAGAGTTCGATTTTCGCGTGAAACCGAATAATCCTTAATTTATGGACATGAGTGTATTATCAATGTAGCCTGTGGAGGTTTTTCCGCAACGAAGTAAACTACCGAACAAAGTGATAGTTTCGATAATTGAAATTAAAGCAAAATTTATTTATGTAAGATTTTAAATTTGTAAACTGAGAGTTATTTTTTAAATTTTTTATTTCTTTTAGATGTGGTAAGGAAAGGAATAAAAAGACAACAAGAAAGACTAATTTAACAAGAAAAAATTATGGAAGATAGAAGTTTTTACGCAATTATTCTTACTTCAACCTCTATTAAGATTAAAATTCCAAATAAATATCCCCACTTAATTCTACGAATTTCGTTTCCGTTCTAAAATCCGTGGAATTTCAAATAACTAGTCGAATATTCTTAAAACTTCATAAACATAGAACAAGTTCACAAAAAATGTATTATAATTACAGTTTATACTAATAGTTTTACTTATAGTTACTTTAGTGAATTTAAATTACCGTTTCGTAACTCAATAGTAACTCAACTAACTTAAATGACTGTCAAATGCCTTTTTATTCCATCTACCCCGATCAAGGTAAAAAAGCAAGTATTGCTTAACAATGAAAACCTGAGAGTTATACGAATGAAACGTACAGAAAACTCCACCAGCTAACAAGCAGAATGACAGCTTTTCACTGTTTAATACCCACTAACTTGCGCGTAGGGTAACAGTTATTTCACACAATGTTCAAAGTAATGCGAACTGAGTTCACAAAAGTTCACTTCAGAAACACTTTCTTTGTGGTGGGTACATACAGGAAGTCTTTATCCTTCTATAAAGTGGACTGTGTTAACACTTTAGTTCAAATGATGAACTCGAAGAAATTCACATGTGATCTCGGACATAATATGGCTTTACTCCCATGGAACTTCTTTCTCATAATTTTCTTGGACTCTTGATCTGTTGTTCTGGTTCCTGCCAGCAATAGAATTTGAAGCTCAGACTTATTTGTGAGTGCTGATATCTTTTGAGCTGTGGCTTGCTCATCTGCATACTTATGAATCGTATTTAATAATGTCAACTGACAAAAGAAAATCATACGATGTTGCGAAAGGGAAGGTTAAGCTCATGATGCCTGAGAATGTAACTTCTTGCTCTATTAAGAACCCTAAGGATAATCTCTTGAGTGCAAACAATCTGCATTCTTTTCACCAACTTCATGTATCTACAATCATCGATGGGGAATTAAGTCCCAAAGACGTTAATTAGTATTGCAACCACTGAAAGGGTAGTTGACTCACAATTTGTAAGTACGTGGAGAACAAGCCATCATATAGGTTTATTTCTGAGGAGGCGACTTATTCACCCAAGTGTCATGACATTTTGGACATTTATCTTATCTCCTTTTAGTATTCCTATGCCTCTGGAGGTGGCTACCAGTTTGTTATCCGACCACTTGCCAGTACTTGCCAGAATCGGAATAACTTTTCAGAAAGGCCTACAAGTCAAGAAACTGGAAGCTTTTCTACAATTTCGCCTTCATTTCCCCAATTAAATTGGACAACTTAAAATTTGCAAGCAATATAGATGCTGATATGCTCAGTTTTACGTTTTACTTCAAAGCTCTGAGATTTTCAGAGTCAAGCTTTGACTTTCATCAACGAGAAATATATGCACGGTTGATCGCCCTTGCATATCAGACAGAAGAATTACTGAAAAGTCTTAAGTCCTAGTGAGACGGATGTATAAAATGCCATTGATGGAAGATACCATTGATTACAAAGTGAAAAACTAAATTAGTCAAGTTCTTAGGAGTCAGTTTTACTAGACCATTTATACATGGTCCACGCGCATTAAGAATGTACGTGGTAAAGCGTATGATATTTATCAAAAATGTTTCCATTAATTTCAAGTGACTCATGACAAAATCTGGCTCGTAAGAGACGGATAGACACGGCTATTGTTGGTCCGATCTTTTCATATGCGTAACCTGTCTAGGTGAATGTGAAAGAAAATGAAGAAAACGAACTGAAGAAACCTCAAATCCTCCCCAAAAAACGTTTTCACCGACTATCTACCACTGGTTCCCTTTACTTCATAAGAAATGTAAACTTGTATCACGATCTAAAACTCTATATAGTTAAGGAATATCTCGTATATTAAGTGAAAATTTCTAGGAAGCAGCAGTAAACAATATTGAAAATTTCGCTGGTCTTCTGAACTACGAAATCCTCGTGTATGACATTTTTATTCGAGCGTACGCTGCATATCCTCGAAATCAGGAAGATCTATATACTGGTCTTGCAACATCAACCTTCACCTACAAAAAGCTGATCTACAAGTTACTCACATTTTCGTTATGTAAATATTGTAAATATTTATCAAGTGTTTGCAAATGTAATAATTTTTAAAGTGAATTTCTGCAAACGTAATATCCGCACCTGGTTAGAAGAGCATTTGCTAGCCTTCGGCATGCATGCACCTGATTTGCCGCTGAGCGCTAGTGACCGGAACGCTAAAACTCTCAAATGTTAATCGAACGACTATTCGCACACCTACCACCATCTACGATCAGCTTTTATGCACATCAGGGTAATTCTTGTACGAGACAAAGTATCTCTCTGTTTTTCTTTTTATGTTTTTCAAGTTCTTCCACTTAGGGAAATTAATGAGAATGTTTCATTCACAGGCTTCATTATGGAACTTTCTGAAGCTCTAGGAAATACTACTAAGACAGTAGAAACCAATAATAACCACAGCTGCATCGCTGGCATCACATCTTCTGAATATACCGATCCCACAGAAGACTACAGTGAAGAAATGTGATTAAAAATCATTGTGGAATACGGGGAAATAAAAATGCAGATTTCCCGGAGAAAACTGTCCTAAAAAATTCAGAACTTTCTTCTGAAAGAATAACGTGATTCAGATTTGTGCTTAAAAGCTAGGCTAAAGGCTAGCTAGGCTTCGCAATGTCTCCTGGAAAAGAGAGATATAAGCTCAGATTTTCTTCGCGCAACAGCTGTGGCATCATGCCGTCTTTTGAATCAGTACTAATCGTTTTTACGTTTGACTCAAGAATTCTTCAGTATGTTCTCAAAGCTCCTCCCCCACTATAAGAGACGGAACTAATATCAGAGAAAAGGGGCTCGGCCTCTGCCATGTTGGATCACTGGACTGTCGTCCGCCATGTTGGCCCACGTGGTGTCCATTTGGAATGAGTCATCCTTTTTCCGCCATGCTTTCCGTCCTGAATCGCTGGGGCATTCTTTTATTCGGTAACTATTTATGAATGATTTAATGATTTATTCTTGTTTAACTTAACTAATTAAATTATTAAACACGTGGTCCTTGGAGAACATCAGCCATTTTGTACGGTGTTTCATGCTGCCCTTCACGGCGAGAACGCAGTTTCAAAAAATGCCTGGGCCCGCACCCACGATGTCGAGATCTGCAGCCACGCGAAGACTAAAAATTCGTAACCATAAAAAAAAAGGGCAAAGTGTTCAACGAGTTTACCGATCGAAAAGTTTAGGTTATACAATGAATGGAGCAGAAGATATATTTTTTAATTTCTTAATTTTAGGCAGCCCATAAAGAAAGAACATGATCTACATTTCATAGTTTGAATTCTGTAAATGGTCTAACTAGCAAAAGCCAGGAAATTCTAAATAAATAAACGAAATTAACGAAGCCTCATTTTGCTCGGTCTGAACAATTAGTCGTGAATATTTGTAGCAAGCAAATCTTTGCCAATAAAGCAGACAGCAGATACTCAAAGCAGAGAAAAAGCTAACCGAAACTATTAAACGTTCTCTGATACACTATAAAACTTGATACGTATTTAAATTAATTTTAATTTTAATTCGCTTACTGCATATTCACATTTCGATTATCGCGTTACCATTTAGATTTCGTTATTTGTCTAAAATTATTTTTTAAAAAATTGGCAGAAGATTTAGATTATTCGAAACATTTCTGTATTATTTGGAAGTGTATGTCTACGACCAACGACTACAAAAAGGCCTAGTAAGGACTTTTAAGCAGTGTAAGTGGATGGGTATATGTAATATATTTGTACTTTGGTATTGCTGAATGCAATACAAAAGAAAATGCAAAACTAGATGTTAGAGCAGTTGCATATGTAAAATTTCAACTTTCTACAGATAATCATTTTTTGAGTTATGAGAGATGCATACATTTATGTATAAGTATGTACGGATAGGCGTCACGAAAAAAATGCCTCTTAAATCCATTTTACAATCCGTTTACATTCCCAAAACTAATTTATTTCCTCGTTTTCCCAAAACGGATTGTAAATCCTTTACTCTGTGCGTAAGCAGGCAAAAAAGAAATCATCCAAATGTGTTCGGGAGCGATTAAAATGGATATTTACACATATATGATACACGAAATGTTTCGCAGTTACAATATTTTCTTTACTTCGTACAAGAAAGTAAACATATTAATGTATACTCGGGATATTTAAAATTCTAAATTTAAATAAGTGATTAATATAATTTACATTTCAAAAATTTTAAAATTTTGCAGCAAAATTACTTACATACGTGTGGCGATACTTGAGTTTTTCGAAATCTCCAGGCCAGAAGTATATGGATATGACCGAAAATCCAATAAAATCTTAATCTTAGGGCAGGCAATTTATTTACAATTTTAACTAGACGTCGTCTTCTTAAATAAACTCCTAGTAGTAAATATAGCGCTGTTACTAACAATATTATGCGCAACGTATTATATAAATAAAGAGCCAATTGCGAATAATCTCTAATATGGCTCATTTTCTCCTTTATTTTACGGGCAGAAATTTAACCGAAATATTATTCACGACATGGGCAAGACATTTTTATACCATTGCGATATTAGATAAGTATCGGTGTCTGGAGATAAAAAGAAAAATATCTGATTTTTATCTCCTAATACCTGTCCGCCTTATCGACTATGTTAAAGGCACATCAGCAAAAATTTTTCTTGCTTTCTATTTGAGATTTTAAATAATAAATTTGATATCTTTTATTAAAATAAGATAATTTTCATTTGCTGAAATAATTGTCTAAAAAACGTACTGTAAAAATAATATCGCTGTTAAGTGAACGCTAGAACTCTGAAAACCTTTGCAGGACTTCAGTTTGATTAAAATATATAAGTTTTAACCAAACTGACGCTTTATGCTTTGAGTAATAAGCATTAATTAATTTTATATATTTCATAAATAAAATATTTTTTGTAACAGCTCAGATCAAAGAGCAGCTTATCAGCTATGCCTGGAGATGCATAATATAGGGCGTTAGATACTTATTTTATTACTTATGCTGCAAATGCTCATAACTACAGAGGCTGTTCACAAATTTTTTAGACGACGTATATTGTATTCACAAAACTAAATTACATAACATTCTTGTGTTTTAAAAGTTCTATTTGATATCCCTTATTCTGAGATATCTTTCGACACTGCAATTTCCAGGATAATAATGCCTTTTGAAGTGGCAGAAGTGATATTCTATCCCATTCCTCCCGAACAGCTTTCCAGAGTCCTGTTAGGGTTTTGGGACAGCGTTTGGATAATGCAGTTTTTAAAAGTCCGAAAGCACAAAAATCCATAGGTGACACATCGGGAGATTTAGTAGGGATATCAGTGAAGGATATGGCCTAGATACCAGTTTTTTGTTCCATTTCTTTTCAGTGGATTCATTTTCAGTGGATTTTGATGTGTTACTGCTAGCTTTGTCCTGATGGAGTCTCACAGATTGATGGCACTGTGGGTAAAGCGATGGTATTACATTCAGAAAAATTGGCGATAAAATATGTTCCTGATAGTATTTGGAGTTAATCTTGACATTTTTTTGCACTCTCTTTATTCTTAACTTGCCATTATAAGAAAAAACAGCAACAATCATGAATCCCTTAGAAAAATTTTCTTTCGATTCTTTGAACCATGTACTTAAATTTTTTTCTCTCCTTTTATGATAATAAATGCCTCTTTTTTTGTTACAATCACTTAAATACACCCATGCTTCATCTAGCGTGACAATTGTTTTCCATTTTGCTTTGGATAAGTGTTTCTCATATAGAATTCTGCAGCGTGTCCTGCGTTGAGCGATATGCTTTGGAAGAAGACGATGCACATTGAATTTTTTCGCTTTCTTAAGATTTAAATCAACGTTTATCATTTTGTTTACAGTGGACACCGAGCATTTAATAATTTTGCAACTGTCCTTTGACTAGGGGGATTTTCTTTTAACATTAAACAACGTACCTTTGCAATAGTCGAAGATGTCCTTTTTTTCCTTCGATACTTGTTTGGAATTTTTGTCCCACTTGAGTTTTGGGTCAAACTCCAATTTGACGTTTTTTTCTTTTCTTGTTGATGATATTACCTATCGACGCTTTATATATCACAAAACGATGACTCTCACATTGTTTTTGGATAACGGAGTATACATATTTCTCTTCGGAAAGAGCGTAAATGTAGCCTTCGAACCACTGCTTTATTAAATTCGCCATTTTGAATAAAATCAAAACTTTAAGCCACAGACAATAATTTTGACTTTTAAAAACATAGTACAATTGCAATTACTTCTTTTGCAGCAAACAAATTTTTATTACCGCTTACCAAAATCGTCTAAAAAATGTGCGAACAGCCTCTGTATTACTAGGTTCCATTGTATATATTATGAATTGTTGAGTGCATAGAGTTTCGTAATGGATTGAATGAACCAATGATAACATGATAAAATTTATTTTTACCAAAAGAAACAATTTACCGTTCTGGAATTTTCCACAAAACAACAGTTCACACTTTTCCTCTACAAGAAAGAATGATATTTTTTTGGCCAGGTTATTAAAGGCGGCAATAGACATAAAATGAAATATAGGCATGATGAATTCTAAGCTCTTAGAAATAGAACAGCACGCATTATCTCCTCTGCCAATGATGTATGTGAAGTAGCTGTAGAATTTCATAAATAGTTTCATAATTATCTTTCTCTAATTCTGCTTTTAATTGGCTTACGATGGCGTAATTATATTAATCTAAGCGATTTTGTTTCTTTAAAGTACCTTTACAAATCGCCGAGATTTATGAGTTACCATTTCACCATTTATATTTCTTAAATTGCCTGCTATACTGGTAGTATATCATTAGTTTAATATCAAAGTCTACCTGACAAAGAAATCTACCTGGCAGAAATATTTACTGATAATGATACCTGGCAGGACTTTACACATATTGATAGTGTAGTACGGCAGTATATGTCTGATACCTGGCTGTACAGTTATGCTGATACAATATGTCATACAATCTGGTATACTGATAATGCAGTACGGCTGTATATTAAGACTTTATTAAAATTGGGATTTGAATTAAATTTGGTATTAAAATTGTGTTATATATTACTTCTTGACTCTCAGTTTATCCATTTTAAATTATTTGGCTTAGAAAAGAAATTTGCTGTGCGAACTAAATTCACATAAAAACAGTGCGAAAATTTATATAATTGTCCTGTCACTGAAGACGACATATATGAATTGAGTCCGATATCCTTTATACATATTTCTGTTAGATTAAGTAAGTAACTGCTCTTTAGTTTCAGATCTTCTCTTGTACCCATCTTTGCCAATTGAAACGGTAATTCGTTTAGTTAACTTTCATATTCAATTTTATTCTTAACCTTCCAGAGGACCAAGGAATTGATCTAGAAAACCCGAAAAGGCCATAAGAAATAAATTGCCTCCTACCACTTTATATTTTATTTTTTCTTGTACTCTGCCTTAATGGGTTAAACGCATTTCAAAATACTCATGTAAATAAATGTTTGAATGAGAAAAATACTGCTGAACATTCATTTATGTCTTGATCAGTAGAAAGGCGTCACTACAAAATCCAAAACTGCATAATTTGAATTATTCAGCTATATATTTATTGGCTAGTCACCCAAATTCTCGATGTCATGGACAGGGAAATTTCATATATATTCCTTATAAATTAGAACTGGGACTAGAATAACGAAGCAGTTTACCGAAAGTCAAGCATTTTTCAAAAACTAATACATCGCTACAGATATCTTAAACTAATGAGACATTACAATTTTAGTATGCGATAATATAAGTGCAAAATAATATAGAAAAATTAACCTGTTTGGTTTTACTGGCTTGAATATGGCAAAGTACACGAAAAATACCTGTCTTTTATAAGGGATGTTCCGAACAAAACTGGCTCATATTTATATTAAACATTGGGGTACGCGGGGGAGGTACTAGCATCACGAAAATAAGCTCTTAGCCAAGATGTTTTCCAACATTCGTACCTATGTCAAACTATAATGTTCATAGCTTTTAAATATTGGAATATTCGATTGGAGCATCTTTGGAATAAAAAACGCGATTGTAATAAAGGAAGCATTAAACTATTATTTTCATGCAAACATTTAGGAATTTTGTTTGTCTGAATTATAAAGAATGCCTTGTGATAATGTATGGACAAAGTCTGTGGCCTTGCATAATGTTCAGACATGCCTTGTGGCATATCCAGATTGTAACCTATCTTTTACTTGTTTTGTTGTAGCAAATTTAATGTGAAATAATTTCCTGAATACGTTCTAATAACTCTAAAAAGTATTTAAGTTGGATTGGTGCATACGCATCACCCATAGCATACCACCATAGAAACAAATCACAGGATTGGTGGAGTTACTCTCTGTAAATTAATTAAAAGTTCTCAAAACCCTACGATGTTCTGTCCGTGAAATTACACCTAAGTCCTGAAAGATTTAAACAACCATTTTATTAAAAGCTTTAAATTAAGCAAATCTCCGACTTATGCTTACAAATTAAAACTCCACCACACTTTTGAAATTCAGATAACAGAAATTGAATCATTTAAATAATTTCAATTTCGGCGACAACAATACAGTATAACTAAGCATTGGCACAAACTCCAGTGCGCGTTTTGTTTCGGCTAGCGAAATGGCTAATGTCGGATTACTACTGTTGCAGAGATGAGCAAAAGAAAAGTATACTGCGTCGAAACACTGCTAAACGTTCTGTACCTAAAACTTCCAAGAATTCCGCCATAAACATGCTTAACTCACTTACATCCTGCTGAGCTCACGTAGTTGCAAATGATTAAAGAAATGGATTTATTAACACAATATATATTCTACAGGTTATCTTGTCAGAGTTTTGTAGCCATTTCCAAAATGCCATGTGATTCACACCATTATTCTGTGAGCTGATGTTTTCATATTTGCAATCATAACTACCTCACATTTAGTTATACAAAGTTGTTTCTTTCCTTTAGAATTGCTCAGAAATTAAAGAAATATCCGGAATTTGAAATGGGCATCCCACATCTTATATTTGAAAAGGCGAAGACAAGGAAATTGTTTATGGCGTGGACGCATTGAGATGATCAATGTTTACATTCATGAAGTGTCGCCTTGCTTTTTTATATTCTTTATTCTGTTTATATTTGTGATTTAAATGAATGAAGATATACATTTTGACATCCTCGGCTAAAATGTTTAGTGCTTGGAGTTGTAAAAGTGGTTCAAAATTTTAGGTTAATTTTATTCTAGCATGTTTATTTCTAATGTTTATACGAACTGCATAAGTGGCAGAATGCCAGTTAAAAGATAAACAGCACGTTTTATTTTCAAACAATGCATAAGCTAAACGAACGTGGTGTTGAAATCTAGATAATGGTTGTGTAAAGATGTGTATGATTGGCTTGACAAAGTAAGCGTGGTCTGATCAGATAAATACCATCAACCTTGAAGAATTGCGAAACGGGGAAATCT